CAACATCCATGTCCTTCCCATTCCGCGTCATATGCACCCTACATACAACGCCGGCCGTCGTCAGCATCGCACCCGCCTCCTCATCAGAAAATACGGCAGCGACCCGACCACCCTCTATACAGACGCCTCTCCCTATCCTCAACGACCAGCTCACGTCGCTACTGTTGCCCGCATCGACAATGCCTTCCTCACCTCAGCAACCGTCTGCACAGCGTCTACTACCACGGCCGAAGAAGCAGCCATTGCCCTCGCAATGACCCAAGCCACGAGTCCCAGCATAACAATAATGTCTGACTCACAAGCTGCCTGCCGTCGCTTTGCACTCGGACGAGTCTCAGCTCTTACCCTGGCCATCCTTACTCAATGCCCCACCCTCCCTCATGCCCGCATAGTGTGGACACCCAGCCACACTGCCCTCCCTGGGAACGAGGTGGCACACGCCACCGCCCGAGCTCTCCTTCACCGGGCATTCCCAGAAGAGGCCAACAACGCAGCCAGCGTTGCCAACTCCCTTACGCCCCTCTCCCAAACATACGCTGACATCCTCTACCACTACAGAGCGACCCGACGCACCTATCCCCCTCCCCACCCTTCCCTTTCTACCGCTGACGCCCGCATCTGGCGCCGACTTCAAACCAACACGTATTACAATCACCTCCATCTCCACCACATCTCTCCTGCCAACTACCCACTGAACTGCCCCCAATGCGATGAGCCCAGCACCACAGCTCATCTCGTCTGGACGTGCCCCACCAACCCTCCACCACCCAGATCCCCTACCCTTGAGCAGTGGGAGTGCGTGTTGCAGAGCTGCCAGCTCGAAGACCAGGAGGCCCTGATCTCTCGGGCGAGGATGGCAGCCGCGCCACGCGGCCTACCGGAATAGGATGGCCGCCCACAGCTCCTAACTCTTTTCTCCCCTACCCCGTTCCTGTTGTTTCAATAAACGTTTTCTCTCTCTCTCTCTCAGTGCATTGCCAATTAATGATCTCACCACCCCCCTTTTACCAGTTTAGAATGAGCACTCTATGTAGAAAGAACCTTCTTTACGGTTTCCCTACCATAAGACCAACAAAGCCCCCTTTTATTAAATAGTTGCAAGTACAAAAACTGTAACTTCCCATCTTTCGCTGATTCAGAGGTGAATTTTTGATTCCGGTGCAGCGGTCAAAATAAAATCATGGATCTGAGTAGCAGAAAGCTGATTCGGAGCACAAACTAAGATATCATCAACAAACCTCCCAACCAAAAACCTTTCTCCGCCCAAACAGCCAACAAAATCTGTTATTTTCTTGTCAAGAGTGTTAAGATAAAACTCAGTCAACACGGGAGCCACCGCCGAACCGATGCACACACCTTTCCGCTGTGTCACCATTAAATTTAAGCACAGTTGCCTTCTAATAGCACGTCAGAAGATCCAGTACCGCATCTACAGAAATACCCGCTTTGGCCTGAAAAGAGACCAAATTATTTTCTAAAAGCTCCCTAACCCTTTCCAGCAACAACACGCTATCTAAAGAATAACACAAATTTTTGATGTACAGGGACATCAACGTGCACGAGCTGCAATGCAGGGGAGATATGCCCTCGATTAATTCTTCCGAGTTCCTAAGGGCAATCCTGCCCTCCAGAGTGACATGGCCTAAACATCCCTGAAGGAAAACCGCAAGCGACTTTTGCCAAGAACCATTTTCGTTAACTACCACACGGAAGGGGAAATCTACTTTATGATCTTCTACTAAAAACTTTAAACCAAAAGAGGAGCGTGAAGCGCCCCTCACTCTGTTTAGCGTAGCCGTGATGTCCTCCTCTGCCAAAATCTTACACACATCCCGTTTTCGAACCGCAACATTTTCATCACTCTTTACAAATAACTTGAAAACAGCCACCAAAGCTTTCTCATTAAAAATACCATCCGAGAGCACTGCAAACAAGCCACTCTTGCCAGTCTGGAGCAGGGTCAAAGAGTTATCTTTCAACTCCCTTTTCAAAGCCGACATTCTCCTGAAATTTCTTTGCTCAACTGGAAAGGACGAATCTAGCAGAACGCTCAGCTTGCTCAAGGATTGATTTACAAAAGACGTTCTATCCTCTGGCGTAGGAAGTTTGGTACTAATGGCATGCACATTCGAGCACAAATCAAACCGTGACGGTTTCACATCCAGGCAAAACTTTCGACCTTCATTTAAAATTGTTTGAGAATTCTGAGACACTACAACACTTTCAGGATTGAAAAAACGTTCCACAGAAGCCGATAAAGCTGTCCTTTTCTTCGTCGAGTCTTGTTTCTTCAAGACGTCTCTTTTCTTGGCGGCCCATGAGAAACAAAAGCTTGCGAGCCGAAGAGAGTTCCAACCGTCGAACTCCACAGAACCGCGGAACCCCTCACCCAGCACACCTTTCCACAACACATCAGCGAGCTCAAAGAGCTCACAAAGTTGCTGATCTGCCACATTCCGAGAGGCCTTTAGAATCCTCTTCTGGTGCCGCCAAGGGAGATTCCGGTGAGCGACATAGCCGAAAAGGCTGGGATCCACAAACCTCTTCCTTAGGCAGAGCCCAAAGTAGCTCACATCCGTCTGGAGGTCACTCAGTCGCTGACCGATCTTGCACAGCGTTAAAAACGCCAAGGCTGGTTGAGAATGTGGTGGAAGGTTTGACACAAAAGAAGGTGAAGGGAAGACGAAACCTGCTTCAGGTAGTAGAATTGTAAGCAGTGAGAGAGTGCAGTCGAGCTGGTAATCAATCGACATCTTGTAAACCCTGAGATGGGGAACGATAAAAAAACGGACGAACCCAACAAAATCTCAAACGCAGCTGAAGTTTATTGATAGGAGCATACCAATAAATAGACTTTCACACAAAAGAAAAAGAGAAAGGGCGAAAAAACTCAAAAGCAAAAACAAGACGGCCAACGCGTTCACCCCAGACGGCCTAAGCTACTCCCCGGCTCCAACAACCTTCGGAAAGGGAGCCGACCACTCGAACAACAACAACCCCACGGTCACCACACATGGTGACCTCCAAAACGCTAAAGCCTAATCCCTATTTCCTACTCGAAGCAATCGCTTAACGGTCTCCCCCCCCCCCCCCCCCCAAATGTTGTGTTCGTCTTTTTTTTTTATCGTTCCCCATCTCAGGGTTTACAAGATGTCTCAAATTCTCCGTTCCTACCACTCTCTCTCTTTTTTCTCGCACACAAAGGCAGCTCGAAGCGCGCCTGAGGCGCCCGGTCATCTACCAAAAACGAGAGGACAAAGAACAGGACATGACAAGGGTAGAAAGTTGGGCAAGTTGGTGATTCATAATGATTAAAAAATGCAACAAGACGACGGACAAACAAGGAGGAGCGCTGTGTCTGTGTCTCCTCCTTGTTTGTCCGGAGTCTTGTTGCGCTTTTTTAATTATTATCAAAAAGACATGGCCTCGCATCCGCGTAAGCCGACCTTGGCGCGCGCGCTCCCAGCTATGACAGTTCGACCATCTCTAGTTGACCTTGGCGTGCGCGCTCACAGCAAGACCAGCTTGACCACCACGATTATGAGTTCGACCAGCTTGACCACATTGGCTCCATTGAGAACAAGTTTGACCAATTTGGACCAGATTGGCTCTCATCTAAACCAGATTGAATCTAAAACCAGACTCTAGTTAGACCATGCTGGTTTTTACTTCAACCAGACTGACCAGCTCAAATTCTAACCTGCCCAGTTTGAACCAGCTTGACTGCCAGTTAAACCTGTTTGATTACCACATTGTCAGCTTGACCAGTTTAGTTACCAGCTTTACCAGTTAGATTTTCATGTTGGGTTTTCCAATATGGCTTAGACTTCGAGAGGGCGATTGTAAAGCGATAATGGGCTTCGGGTTATCCCTCACGCAACTCAAAAGATCACATTAACTCAATGTTCGTCGTCCCTTGTCCGGAGTTTGTTTTATTCTTTCTGTTGCCAGTCAAACTCAAAAGAGGCTGCCGTTTTTGACTTTAACCTTTTAAAACGAAAGCCTTTTACACCGACTAAGCAGAACACGGCTAAGAAAAATCTTGAACTAAAAAGTTACGCGTCGACTCCTCGCGGAGAATGGACACATAAAAATCGCTGACCGAAATATACGGCCTGTAGACAGTTGGCAGGCAGGCGCGGCAGTCATCGATGAGAAGGAAAGTGCGCTCATAAACCATTAAAATAAATCAGAAACAAAAGATTTCGACATCCTCGTTGATGAAAGTTGTGGCGGTTTTAAATGTGTTTTTTAGACCATCTTGCTATTCGTCACAAAGAGACTACTGTTTCTAACGGCCTACGATTTACAAAAAAAAAAACACATATAGATAATGTTCAGTCCTTTGCAACAATAAAATAGTATCGATGTAGAAGATTTTAGAGGTCTATAAAAGAATGCTGCATTACACGAGTTATGCAACTATAAATATTATAATTGCAATGGCGAAACTTACGGTACGGCAATTCCACTTTTCCAAGTGCAGACGTGGTGTTTACACATAAACTTATCGTGTTTCTAGGCTTTGGTCCATTATCAAAGTCTAACACATGCTTGCCTGCGTTTGTTCTATGTTTTCTATTTTCTTTACTAAAACTACTGCTTACATTTATGTTATGGTCTGCTTGCGATTCGGCCCTGATGATTCATGGTTTATCCTCAAACTCCTTTTCAGTGCATTAGATGTCTAAGCTGCGTGTTGATGTTTCAATAGCCGTAAAACGTATGCTACAATAATGCAATTCATAAATAGTACGCTGAAGTGACCTTGAAAACCCTGAGTTTTGTTAATGGTTGGTCATCATCTAAGCCAAACCAGATCAGATCAAAATGTGGTAAAGTCAATCACTAAGTACTTCATTGAAAGTGTGCAATGCGAAAGCAACATTTAATTTATACCTAGCTCATGATTATTAAGATTCGTGAGGGGCACGCGCTTCCTCAAACAAATGCTCGCCCTCAATAAACATCTTGTGGATGTATATGAACACACTAAGCACCTACTGGAGAAGTTCTTTGAGGTAGTTGTAGGCGTTGCCTGTTCTTGGAGCAAAAAGGCCGACTCCAAGAATGATATATCCAAGCTTGTCAACGTCCCCGGCTCTGTTCACTTCCTGGAGCTCTCTCAGTCTCTACAGCAAAGAAAAACATGAGTAATAACTGTTACATACTGCGCATTCCGCCTATGTGTCAGATATATAGAAAGAGTTGTCTTTTAATTTGTAGATGCGACACAATGTTGATGACATTGCCGCCGTTCGAAGTCCCTTAAATAGGTTTAAATAATCTAGTTGTATCTCCGATTACTTCTAGGATAAGATACCTCTACTGACTACTATTAGCAAGGCTACAATCGCGTTTTTTTATTTTATCTTATTAAACTTAATAAAGTTGAATGGTAATGTCGGCTTGTAGTACGTAATCTCTTACAACTGAATATATTCATTGTAAACTCTTACGTTTATCAGCAATTTTGCAACTGAATAATATTTGCTAGATTATTTGGAAAGTAATTTTCTTGCATATGACGCACCGGCTTCGTTCTCATTCGTTATATTTTTATTTACAACTCCCCTACCAACAGACGCACATATGCAACGAAAAACAATATGTGTTCATTTTGCCGGAGTCGACTAGAGTCACGCTGTCACACTCATTAACCAGCGCAAAACAACTCTTGGCAATTTTCAGTTCAACAATGGATTTCTTTACAACGCCAAGCCTCTGCAGTTTTTTTCCACACTTATTAACAACGAAGTCAGAATATCCAAATAAGTATTTCTAAAACATAGGAAGTGCAGGCAAGCTGTATTTGCCTTTTCTATAATTGGTTTTACAAAAAACACAAGTTCTGCATATTGCTGATACGCCGCGCGAAGTAGCTTAAACAAGATTTGGTCGCCATAGGAAGAAGCGGTGTTTTTGATGTTTCAAACGTGTACGTCTTGATAAGATAGCATATGTATACTCTAAACTGCATAAGCATATAACTTAATTCTGCACTACGTGTGAGGAAATTTGAAATGTCCCGGAAAATACCGAACTTTTTTTTTCGGTTCTTTTTTCGCGATGAAGAAACTGTAAGGAGAACACCAAGTGTTTTTGCACCTTTTCGAGAAAACGAAGCCAGTAAGTACCCATACAAGAATTAACAGTGTCCATTCGGGCATACTTATAATGATAATTCTTATAATATTACAACTCGAAAGGATGCACTGTCAGACCTAAAATCCACTAGAAGCGACATGATAGTAAGTGAAAATGTTATATCCAGAAACACCCCTGTTCGTTGCTGCAGAAACGTTATTAGAACACTTCTCAACTTATTTTAGAAAACAAGACGTTGTTTTTGTTGTTTTTTTTCATTAGGAAGGGGGGGGGGGTACTCTACTCTTTTGTAGTTCAACCTCTAGTGCTGTCTCTCTTAATTTGGGAATTCCAGCCAGGTTCTCTGCATCTCAGTCACTATTTTTGTGAGTCAATGTTTTTCGACTACTTCAAAAAGGGTCGTGTTTTTTCTGCAGTTTTTGCTCGAGCAGGAAACATCTTAATTCAGAAGCAGATTTTTACTAATAAAACAGAATGGTAGTTGATGTAGGCTAGAAATTTCCAGTTTGAGGGGGGAGTGAAACTCGCTGAGTGTGTCTCTGTTCTCTCTCCTGCGCTGCCCATGGCCTCAGTGGAGGTTTATCTCGGGACCACTGGAGTATAGACGCTTTACACACGCGCCAGATTGAGCCGCCATAGCTGCCCTTCTCTTGTCTTACCGAGATGCCGAGCCACTGAAGCGGGCGTTGACGGGTCTTCACAAGGGCCTATGCTGGGCACAAGAACACAGTAGCATCTAAAATGGCAATAACCTGTCCTACTGTGGTAATGATGAAGTGAAGCGAACGGAATAAGAGGGAACAAAAACTGAAGGTCAGTTATGGCGGCGCCCATGCACAGCTGCTGTAAAGCGTCTATATTACTGCCGGCACATGCTCTGTACGTTTTTACGTCATTAAGAAAGGTACCTAGGGCAAAAGTTTGTTTATATTAGATCGCTTTAACAGACGTTGTAATTAATTGTTTTTTGTAGTTTCCTTTTTTTGTTTTATTCCTTATATTTACATAAAACAATTCATAGTGTCTTAGGCTACCCGTTAGGTGAAACACTACGATAACTGATGTGTGATGTAGGAGCCGCTAATGTGCGAATTCAGAGCAGGTCGACTGAAGGAAAGGTTACAGTCTGCATAGAGAGTTCGTATTAAACCGAGTAACACACCGGTCGAAAATTCTATAGCTTTTTAAAACCAATGAGGGTGTGTTGAGTAGAGTGGATTTCGTAAACCTGTTGAAACATTTTATTCGACACAAACTAAGACTGCCTTGTGGCATTTGAAAAACACCTGGAAAATTGCGCGCCGAAGTTTGAAATGCAGGGAACGACGAAACTGCGTGTGTGTGCATGAACCGTTTCCTGTCGCTGGTGTGACTGCCTGAATTTCTTATGCAATGCCATTGGACACAAACTAACACCGCATTGTGGTCATTAAAAACACTACCAAAATCGCGCACTCAAGGCTCGAGCTTGTAGCTCCACATAATATCACGCCCGTGGTTTCGGCAGCTTGACGCCCAGCAAGCGTTATACGTTTTATCTTCGGACAACCTTTCTGGCATAATCAGCGAAAACGCTTTGTTTCGGTTGTTTCCGATATCAGCAGCCTCATGTTTATAGTTTTACATGCCGTCATTCTGTAACCTGACGACGATTCGTCATGGGACGTCTAAATGTCACTTGAAGTCACAGTGTCCCGTGACGTCATGATATCACGTGACTCACTGTGTCATCAGACGTTATTGAGCCGCGTGGCGTCACTGTGCAACGTGACTTGACAAGGGAATGTCACGTCATGGCGTCAGCTCACGCCAGGTAACAAGGTGCGTGATGCGCGGCGTGACGTCCGAGTCATGTCGATTGGCGTGACGGCAACGACGAGACTCCAGTCTGGAATCTTTTGGCGGAGTGCCGAGAACTTCCCGCATAGATATGGAGCGCGGTAGACGGCGCCAAACACGGGAAGAGTCCCACTAACTGCCACCGCAGTAAGATTGTTATTGTTCTCAAACGTCTCAACGGACGCTCGTCCTGTTTAGAATCAAAGGAAAAATAATATTATACATCGAGACGTTATTAATATATAAATGTCACGTGTCACTTCCCTTTGTTATTAGCTTTGTTTGCTACAGTCCCCAAATATTTGAGTTTATAGATAGACGTACATAAATCAATAATCATTCCATGTTTGACCAGTTATAGTCTGACTTTTACAGTTTTGCGATTCTGACATTATTTGGCACCGTCTGCAAGGACGAAGCTTTCCTCTTTCTTCGGGGTAAAAGCTAGCACTTCCATCACTGCGCTAGAGAAGAAGAGAGCAGTGCATGAAGTATTCGTAAGGCACCAAGATTGGCGCTCCTACCGAGTACCTCAATTGAAAGGGTGTACAGCTTAGCAATCGACATCTTCAAGATAAAATGAGGCAAGATGTGTGAGGCGAATTTCGGAAACAAGTGTTGCTCAAATGCTCAAAGTCAATACCCGGAACAGACGGCGGCAATAAACACTTCAATAACCCTCTTCCTTTTTTTTTTTACTTGAGAGCAGTATGGTTGAAATTAACACCACAAAAGTGCCGGTCGATTTTTTGTGTAACGGTCACTTACTCTGAGACGGGTAGTTGTAATTAATTGAAATTTAGCGTTTTGTGATTCTGAATAAAATTGTTAACTATTTTGGTAACGCGCACATGCTTGGAAAAAGCCGGAGCCTGAAGATCATTACCCGTTCTTGGGCACATTGTGTTTGATGTTCTCATATTCTACATTCTATATGTTGTGCCTCGCCGATAATCTCATTTGTGAGGTTTTTTTTCTCTCTGAAATCTGCCACCAGCGTAGTTTGTTATTCTTTTACACACCTTTGACGTAACACACGACTAGTCTAAAGTGCGGTAGTCCTAGGAGGGATTTAATAGGCGAGAATAAAACTTGGCCAATTTTGTGATGGGTCTCAACATCTCTCTATTCTTTAGTTCGATCTTTAGACAGCTCATGTTGACTTTTGGGACAGGTAGTGCGCTCAGAGTCTTTAAAGCTAATTTGCTCGTTAGGAGATTGCTGCAAGCGTGCAAGAGACCCGTTTACTTATTTTTATTTCTAAGCCTTGGCTTAGAAATGTAGCGTTGACACTGAAGCAGCAAGCTCTTTGTGTTTCCTAAAAATATTTCAATGCCCACTGTAACGACCTGAATTATGGTGACTTGGATTGGGACTGGATCGAAATATTTTGCAGCTTTCTTTATTCAACCAGACGCGACGGAAGCCGGTAGCTTTAGAGGAACATCGTGAGTGGGAACAGTTAGAAAAGTAGAAAAGAAATGGTACGACGTCTTTGCGACCTGTAGGGCGACCTCCTAGAGGACGACGTCAAATCAGACGTCTAGGATGACCTCCAGGACGATCTCACGGACGGCGTCGAGGACGACATCTAGAACGACCTCAATGACTGCAACTAGGACTAATGCCGAGGACAATGTTCTAGAGCATGGCGTCTAGAACGACGTCGAGGACGACAACCTAGGGTACGATGTCGAAGACAACGTCTCAAACTACCTCTTGAACAACCTCTAGGACGATCTCGAGGACTACATTTATTAGGACGTCAACGACGGCATCGGACACCAGGTCACGTCAGCCTCGGCTACAGGCGCTTAGGAGCTTACGCTGCCTGTGCTTCGTGACCTTCGCTTACGTAAACGGAGTTTAAACAAACAGCGCTTACGCGACCGGTGGTTACGAGCTACGCGACCGACGCTTAAAGCTCGAACCACATGAGACGTTTTTTCATGAGCCTTGCCCGCGTCAGTGTCGGCGTGCGTCGCTCGAGTTCATCTAACTCAACGCCGAAATCTGGACGGTATAGACATAGGCTTGGAGCGCGTCGCGTGATGCAAGGTGACGCTGACGCGAAAGAATCGCCGGAAAAATGCCATATGTGGTTGGGCCTGAAGAGCTTACGCGACCTAGGCTTACGTGACCGACGCTTAAAGGGGCGGTGCAACAATTTGCGTACTTTGGCTAA